CTCAAGCATGCAGAATGGACATGATGCAGCTATATATACCATGCAAAAGATCTTTCCGTTGTTGTGAGTAATCATAATAAATGTGGCAATTCAGCAGCTGCACTTCAGTGAAAAGAAATATGATGCAGACAAGTCACAGTTGTGGTTAAACTTAACTTATATTAACTGGCAGTAAAATTTGCTCCACCAACATTTTATGATAGTGATGACTAGAGGCCAGACTTATAGGCCCTAAAAAATGGGTTTTAGGCACTGAAAATAGGCGGGAACTGTTTTAGGCCCCGAAAACTGTAAATATAGGCCCGATAAACTTTCACAAATTTTCAAAGAAATACGTGTATATTCTGTGTCTACGACATGAAAGCAAGCAGAAATGTTTTAGTTTATGATGATACAAAGGCACTAGTGGTTTAGCATAGCCATGCAGTTTTTTTTCCCCGCAGGGTTTGCAGAGTACGGTCTTTTTTTCTGGTCCAGCATGGTGAGTTAAGTGTCCACCGTCGATTAACACGCACCTGGATTTTTTTCTTTACGGAAAGGCTGAGAAGGGCAATGCAGGAGCAAATTTCCAGATTGCTAATAGGCCAGAAGGGTCTTTTTGCCTTGTATTAACTTGGTCTAGCTGTACAGGGTAAATTTTTTTTCTGTGTGTGAACTGTTTAAAGGGCCCTTCACCAGGTTTGTGAACCTCGATTAGGCAAGAGAAATGCATGCGCTGTGTGCTCACAATCTCATCTGCCAAGATTTATAATGCTACGTACCCTGGAAAGAGGTGAAATGTTAGACTGAACGCCGCTTGACCATCTCACAGGTACGTGCCTTAACACGGTGGACGTGATGTATACAAGTAATAATCCTGTGTAAAGTAGTACGTGACACTGCAAGAATTATTCGAGACGACGTGTAATTTGTGCAATCTGTTGCCTGAATAGAGGTGAAGGTTGACAGAAATATAACTTACAAACGGAATCTATGTGCATTTTTTTTAACTTTATATGAAGTGAGATGCGAGACCTGCCTCCATTTTATTTGTGTTGGTGTTCACGCCATTCTCGCATCATGCTGGTGCCAGCATCATTCCCAACACTTGGCGTGCTTTAGGGGCAAAGTTCTTTAGACTAGTTCTAGCGGTGCGATGATGTATATCGTGGATGGTAAGGACACATGATACATGCCAGCCTTTCCAAATGTACATGCATAGAGAGATGCATCCCTCAGATACAGGCTGTAAAATACAGAAAACATCAAAAGGGCACAACACCGCTTGCGTGCACGACCTCATGTGGGCATGTCATGTGAATATAACCTTGCGTGTGCGTGACTTGATGTGTCTGTGTCATGTAGTGCAGACACATCACAGGCTTCAAGTTGATCTAATATCGATGAGGGCAGCAAAGTAATTTGGCTTGCGAAGTCTACAGCGGGCGAGTGGCAAAGGTTTCAAGCTCACCTTCTCGCATCATGCTTTCACGGCTTGTAATGAACCAATTAAAAAATATATAGGGGTACAAAATTTGTCATTGGGCATGTAACAACTTCCAGCGTCTAAGTAAAAGTTCTTATGTTACCCAGTGAAGCACCATTTAAGAAGTAAATGACAAACGAAACAAGAACCACGTGGACATCTTTTTTTTTCTACTTTACTTTCTCTTGATGACACTCCATGGTTGAGCATTTGTTCTTCATCGTCTTGCAGCTGCACAGAAGCACCTCTTGTTCCCTATACGCATGCCAGCAGACGCTGGGGAGATGCTGAGCAGATGATGCGACGCGGATGAATACATGTGTAGAGGCTAACCAGTCTTTCTATTGGCTAAGTTGCCTTGTAGCCTAGACAGTGCTGAAAGGAACTTCAGAGAGTTAGTATAGGTTGTACTCCGTAAAGTTACAAAAGCTTAGTTTTGCCCTGTCATATGAATACGGGTCTCCTCTGAAGCAATATTTGAGGTTTAATAGCATTTATATAAGCACCAATTTTGAAAATAGGCATTTATAGGTACTATAAAAAAACTATAAAATCCCTTCTCAACCTCCAATTGGTGCTCATATATTATTGTGGCACGATAGGAAGGCAAGAAACAAAATAGGCATTTGCCTATAATTTGGTCTCTAGTGATGACACTGCATCTGGTTTCGGCATTGTACTGAATTCTAACATGTGAAAAATTATTGTTATTCATAATTAGGGAAAGAAAGTTCGTATTACATTTGATTTTTCAGTACAAAAAGTGACCTACACCTCATCTGACTAAATGCTTCGCTGGCATTTTAAAAAAATAATTTAATCTATCTGTTTTGGAGAAGTGCATTTCATGCTAAAGGCTCATTCATACGATACGTACCTGTTTCCTTCAGGGTCAGACTGAGCATCACTGCCTATATTCTTGGTTTTTCATATATGCAACGATCTTGTGCCATGCCCTGGAGCCACGTAACTCATCTTTCCAGTGCATATGTATGCTTCGATGTCTAAAGTAAGCATGTTGACGTTTGGCGACAAATGTGTTCGTCGTATCACTCTGTTCTGTACTTCAGTTTATCAATTGCTTTACCGCAACATGAGAAATGTGCAAAGTGCTCTACACGATAATCTGCTGAGTGTTCTGTTGAATCTTAGTAATCCAAGCACTGCGCTGTATCTTTGCGTACCAAGGGCCTCATGTCCTGTCCTCTGTGCTTTTTGTCTGCATCAACTATGCTCCAAGAACTGTTACGAATTTGTTCCCAAGCGCTCTCCATTATTGAGCTCAGTGCTGCGTTTTTGTGATTTGCTCCTGAGATATGGTGTATATTTCTGGGGGAAGATTTTGAATATATTAACAGTGAAACTATTTAAACCGGCCGTAATCTGTCCAATGCAAACAAAATATGTCTGGCGGGTGGGTGCCACATAAATTGGGAAAGCACAGAGACTGAGTACAGCAGGTGCACGCATTAAACAAGAATGGACACATTAACAAGAGACAAAGAAAAAAATGAGATAAGAAGAAAGAGAAAAATAAAGATAAATAAAGGGATTAAAGCAATAAATGGATAGACATGCCCAGAGAGAAAAAGTGATAAAAACAGCCCTCCCCCAAAGAAAAGAAATAGAAAAACAGAGCGAGACAGAAAGAAAAAGAAGCAAAGAGAACAAAGAGAAAAATAGAAAAAATAATTAGAAAGAAATTAGAAACATACATAAAGGAGGTAGAAGAAACTCAGAGAACGAAAAAGGAAAAAAAAAAGAATCAAGGAAGGTCTTTAAGCTCCGCTCTTCCGTCAGGCTTTTCAGTGTTAGTGCAAAGCTCACATATAATTTTTAATACACACTGTCATTTGAGACGCACGTTGGAGATCTTCAGTCATCTTCCTTGTTGCAATCCGTGGGCATAAACTGTATGCTCAGTCATTTTTGTGGGTATATCTGAAGTTTAACTAACCTAACAAAAAGGACAACCTATTTCACTATTATCAATTTCAATGTCATCACTTTCCATTTTGTATAAGTTTTTGCCATGCGTTAGCGGTAACCTAACTTTCAGTGCTGCAACATGCATTCATGAGCAAGCATTTCAGAACATACATAATATTGGATTTGGTATTCTGTTCATTTTGGAATTCTACAGCACAAAATATGAGACAGAAAATAAAGCACACGTGGACAGTGCCTTGTGCTTCTTTATTTTCCATCCCGTATTTTCCTAATTGTATTAATTATTTCAAAATGAATTATGACCAACAAGCCCAGATGTCTGTTTCGTTAATCTGTTTTGCATACTGAGTTTAAGCTTTTCTTGAAGCATTTATATTGCACTTTCAGATCTAATGTACATTTTTTGTTCCTAATTTTTGCTGTTTCATGTTGTTAAAAGTTGACAAGGTTATCCTTCTGGACTATTTGTGAAAATACATCATAGTGTGTTTTATTTTTAATTTTGTGCAATGTTATTTTAATGTCATGTGTAAGTTCTGCAATAAAAGTTTGTTGTGGAACCAGAGTTTGAACGCTAACATCATTTTTGTTCAAGATGAAATGCTACAAAAAACATATACCACAATGCGTAAGTTACATATTTTAGCGCATTTTGCCCTGAAATCAAGCGTCCAAACAATGTATGAAACATTCGGGATTGACATCTATGCAACGTCTTTTGATCGTAAAAACGTGTAAAAGCACATCTGCAATTTTTCACATATAAGGCATTACAAGTCGGCTTCGCCGCCATGCTCCGTCGCGTAGTGGCGAAGTACGTTTGCGGCTTAAAAAGAGCAATAGTGAGTGAAACAACTTCGGTAAATATTGTGCCCTGGCTCTGCTAAAACAATTAGACAAGGCCATAAAATGAGAAGAAAATGGAAAGCATGGGCATGCACGTACGTAACATGACACTGCAACTGTTCACGTTCAATTACGATCTACTCGAAAGGCGTGGCACAAGCTTAATAACCGAGAAGAGACAGAAAGAGCGCTCTTTCTGTCTCTTTGCGTTCTCGGTTTTCAAGCTTGCGTCACGACTTTCAAGTAACGATGCACCAATCGGCCCAACACAGCATGTTGTTAATTATTAGCAGCCACCTTCATAACTGCGCGCGAGTCAACAGAAAGTGAACCCTTTTTCAAAATTAGTGGCAAGCGTGCGCCTTTACACGCTCGTTCGGCCATGAAATCAAGCCGTACGTGGCACCGTGGGTAAAACTCGACTTACGAAAGGCACGGGTAACGTTCGTTATACGGCCGCTAGTGGGCTTACTTCAAAATTCGCGCAAAATTTTATTCCTCTCCTTCCTTTCTTTTCTTTGTCTTTCAGTTTTAGTGCCGTGCATGGCAATATATCCAACGCAACAACAGCCCGAAGAGCGAACTATCTAACCTAAACTGAATTTTTTTTCAGTAGTAAACAAATTGTAAACTGTGACTCTCTTTTCAGGATCAGGGGTGGCCTTCTTTTCAAACAAAAAGGTTACCGGTTGGCAACGCTGTGTCATCAATTATGTTATCAAATAGCGGGGTCGGCGGGGTAGCAAACAATATCCGTCATGGCTCGAACGTCGCGTTGTGTGTGACTGTACAAAGTTTGCGAGTGATGGTTCTACCCGCCAAGCATGTTTCAGTCGACAAAAGCGGTGTTTTTGGTGGATGTGGCATCGTTCTTCAGCCGCGAAGATCGACTAAGTGTGGCCGACTACCAGCAGGCCATGAACGCGGTCAAATATTGCTGCCTGAAGTTTCTCACGCACTTTGGCACGAAGAGGACTCGATGGGGTTACAAGTTTTACAACCGCAATGGCTCTGCTCGTCAGCGTATGGAGAAGCGCCTCTTCTGCGAGTTCAACCTGGAAACCTTCGAAGATTTCGAGGAAGATCTCGTCAGGCGATTTGAACACTACAGGCAAGCATGCGATGCAATTGACCGCAGTGGTTCTCGCAGCACAACCGAAAAAGATCCCCCCTGCAGTGTCCTCCGTGCTGCACTGACGCAGATATTCTCTGAATACCAGTGGGACGCTCCTAGCCTTTCGTCTCCCGTCAAGTGGAAATTGAGAAAGCGTGAGAAGAAGTGCACGAGTGAAACCTGCGAAGGTGAAGAGGATGCGAACTATGTATTTAACATATCGCCCTGCCCTCATACCGACAGCGATGTTGCCGCCTTCTTGGGCAGATCAGCCACTGCATGTGCGGATGTTGCGGATGAAATTCTCCCCGCCCACGTTCGTCGCCTGCTGTTCGCCAGCGCGTTGGTCAAATTTTTCTGGATTGACACGACATCCCTAGAAGCCACCCTTGACCGTGGTACGACGGTTAGCCCCAAGCTTCGGAAAGCTACAACGGCTCTTGGAGGAGACGTGATGTGTATATCGACGCTGGTAGCTGCTGGAAGTGTTTGTCTCGGCCCAGATGGACGGGTAGCGAAACAAGGGCCCCTTACTGCTGTCCCTTTTTGTGATGTGGCCAACTCTTATTTTTCCAAGACCATCGAGCCCCAGGCTAAGCAGCCATTAACTCCTGTAGTGTATAAGGGGACCCACATTGGATTGGCTGTGCTGTGCCCGAATTCCTCTCGCGTGACCGAAGAGCTTGTTGCTGCTGAGGACTGGAAAGAGATACGGATATTGGGTAGGACGAAAGCAGATGCTAGGCTGTGTATTTTTCAGTCCACTCGGGTGCAGATATTTCGCTGTGCTGGCACGAGCTTGCATACCTACTCAAGGACTCCTGCCACTGCATTGAATGAGATTCTCGCCTGTCTTGTAAATGACAATGGTGCACTTTTTGTTGAAATGTTGTTAAACCACTCTTTTTTTAAGCACTCTGGTTTTCTGTTCCCCATAGACTACAATTCATTTTCTGTGCACATTGTCACAAAGCCAGCTGTGAGGGCGCCAATGGCATTGTCAAAAAATGCCGGCAGGGAATTTGCGAATGGTAACCGAGATGAAATGAGACGAATAGGCATCCTGTGGAGAAGTAGCACATCTTCACGTTTGGAAAAGCCCTTTGCGGCAAATGTGCTTGAAAAGTGGTTTGTTCCTGCTTCCACCAGTTGTATAGTTGATACTAGCAACGAGCAGGCACATTCCACTTCTCAAGACTACTTGCTCAAGTTGCTACGACGAGAGTACCGGACAAAACTAGCAGCCAGTAAGGCCAAGGGTGAACATAGAATTGTGAGTGATGAGCCCAAGCGGCCAGTGTCTGTGCCTAAGATGCGCAGGTGCCTTAGTGTTTCTTTTCCTGTTATGCCTGCATCAGATGATAACATGGAAGCCACTTCGTTTGGCCGAAATGCTCTCATTGCAACACCTTCTTCTGATGTTGACCAACTTGTCATTCATCTCAAGGAATGTTATGATGCTGCACTTAATGCAGAATTGCCAGCCTCCTTGTTAACCTGTGCCCAGAACATAGTCAGCGTGGTGAAGAGGTTTGCTGAGAGTCAACCAAGTGAACTAAGTTGTTCTGAAACTGCTTGCAGGGTGCTTAGGACTCACTTCACTTTGAGCTGTGTTCAGATTGCAGAGAAATATGTCAACCATAAAGATGATGACAGTGTCAAACGTCGTGTTAATGAATATCAGCTGCAAGCACTGTTGGCATTGGAGGAGGAAGTGAACTTTCAGTCAGCGAGCAATTGTGTGGAAAGAGTAACATCCTTGCTTCGAACACTTTCTTTTATTTACAACCCAGCATGTGCGAGCGAATTTTTGAAAGGAATTGTGAGCAGCGCCTATCTAATAACCCTTAAGGACATTCTCATGGAAATTGCTGAGGAGCTGAACATTCAGATTATTTCAGATGAACTTGACACTTCGCTTGGTTCTGAAGGAGACATTTTTCGCTTGGGATCTGTTCCCTCTATGCAGTCACAGGAGTCCTACCTGTCAAGTATTCCATCATCGCTCAGCTTGATGCGGGGTACTGACAGCACTAATACAGCAGAGAACAAAGCTTTAGTCAGAGTAGACCTTTCACAGCCACCAGCACTTGAGAAGCTTCAAATTGTGGTAAAGCAGGCATCTACAAAGGACGGAGCAAATGACTCCAAATCGTTAAGAAAACATGCAAAAAGGGCAAGGACAGGGAATGCACAGAGTAATGACGATGAAGTAGGTTGCAAAAAGTCACAAAAGAGTATAACTTCAACACCAAGTGCTAAACGTCGTCGTGTCCTAAAGACAACATTTGTACCAGAAACACCTCATGGGAAACAAGGAAGGAAGGCCGTTCAGCGTCGGCAAGAGCTGTTGAGAAAAAAATGCAGTGTTAGGATCACATTGCCAGTAGTAGAGGAAACTCCTGAAAAGAAACACTTCTCTCAACCAACAACTTCAAAATCTCAGACCCCAGTTAAACATTCTGGTTTGGAAATTCTGAGCAATGCTGAAATGCAGTATGCTCAGGGCAGCACAACACCAAAGAGGACCCTTCGGCCAAAGATGCTTTTTTCTCGTGTGCAAGCAACGCCACCCGAGTGGAACAGTTCAGAATGCTTGTTCACTTCTCCCATTGGTGATGTTGAGCAGGTGCCCAACAATGAGAAAACGCCTAAAAAAATTGGCAGTCAGTTACATACAGGAAATGAACAACACTGTACTGTGACACCACGAAGAAAAGTTTCAAAGAAACTTCTGAGTTCTCCTTCAACACCAAAGTCCACACTCAATTTTCCTAGTAATGTTGATGCATCTCCAGCTGTCAAGCGAATGCTCTCAAAGCTGCCAACTACCACTGTGAGGAGGCAGACATTGTTCCCAAAAACTGAGACGCCAAGGCAGTTGTTCAGTATGAAAAGTCATAGAAGCTCACTGGTTAAGAGTGTAGACTCATTGGATAGTCTAGTGGCAGATCGGGCTAGCTCCGGTACCCAGTCATTTTCCACCTCTTCAGAACAAATTTTAGGGGCCGACAACGATGCTGCTCTAATTGTGACTTCTGAACCACCAGAGAACTCTCTTAGCTCACCACTCTTATCAGAATGCACATCTCGCTTCACACGGAGTAAATCGCGTGAAACAGGCCTTTCACCACACCAACTGTTTGTATTATCGCAGAAGAGCCCAGTAAGGAAGGGAAACCATGGGTTTAAGAAAAGGGGCAACAAAACAGTGGGCTGTGCTATGTTGAAAGACAATGACCAGACTCCAAGGCATAAAGTGACAAAGAAAGTTTCGTACACTCCTCCTTCTGCATTGAGTTTATTGCACCTTACTAGCTCTCCCATGCTGTTAAAGAAGACCAAGTGATTGTGCCGGTGGGATGTTTTAATCAATTCATTTATCTGTACTTAAATTTTTAGTGCATATATGGGGATTTTTCTGAATGTTCTCGGTGTTTACAATTATCAAATGTAATGTAAGTATGTACAGAAAATTGCTGGGTATTACGCGTCATTTTATGCTTAAATAAATATAGCTCACTGTACAGGATACAGTGCCATGTGAATGTCTGAAATAATCAATGTAATTTTACATCATTGTCACAAACGACTCCAATTTTCGGATCATCCGTGGGCCCCATCTTCCGAGGAAGGACGCTTTTGTGTTGGGGGGACGACATCCGGCGACTATAACGACCCAGCGTGGCGCCGGCTCGTCCTCCCTGCACCGGTACCGGAAGGGGCACCGGCGGTCTAAACAAGAAAAATTACTCCCAGATGAGACGGGAGCACGTGTACGCCCCTGAAGAGGTTTGAACTGCATCGAAATAGGCAGTTGACGTACAGCCAGCAACAAGTGCGGTCGTCGGTGTCGCGAGTCTCGCGTAGGCGACGAGCATGGAGTGACCCGCGCAACCACCCCCGTGCGCGCAATGTATTGAGACGGCTGCAATTCCGGGCACCCTCGTCGTCTACCAAGCCGGTGAGACCTTCAGCGGCACCCGTCAACTCCCCTACGTGCACCAAGAGCTGGCCTGGTCCGTATGGAACTTTTTTATTGTGACTTTTCTTTTTTAAACTGTTAAATTATTTTAACCAGCCCTTTTTTTTTTTAATATTTGTATACTTGTGTGTGCTGCGTCGCACGCACGTAGAAATTCAAAAGCACGACCGTAATCTTTTTCATGTAATTTTTCTTGTATCTCCTTTGATTCATGTCATCAGTTTGTTTACATTCCGCATATTTGTCTTTAGCCTGTATCTTTTGTAGTGTTTTTAGCACATTTTGTTATATAGCTGTTGTTTCTATCGCGCGTATCAGTTTTCCTCCTTTGTTATTTTTTGTAATCTCCTGCCTTGGCCCCTGTTTTAATTAAATGCTTGTTTATGTGTAATCAAACTCCGTGTCTGCTCTATGAGTGCGTCGGTCAGGCCCACACATCACCACACGTGCAACCCCGCACGGGTCGACCAATCTGCAAATAAATTTGAAATGTGCCACTTCGAGGCCTTTCAGGCGTCGCAGGCCGAAGCGTAAAGTGGAAGCCTGCGAGTCTGCCGCACGTCGATGTTGGATCGGCGGGGCCTCACCCGAAGTGTGTGACAATCATCATGCACCTTTCTTTTTGCAAATGACTTGATGCATTGTTTTATATAACTGCTTCATTCCAATTTTTCAGTCCATGATATTATGGTGTTTTTGTGTCTCACACGATGCAACTTGAAATCTTCAGAATCATAATCATCATTCACCTTTCTTGCCTCATTCACTTTGTGCTTATTGTGTACAACTAGTTTTACTATGGTTGTGGTTTCAGCAAATTGCAAGGCGAGATTGGGATATTATTATTTTTTTTGCAAATGGCTTGATGCATTGTTTTATATAACAGTGCTTCATTCCAGTTTTTCAGTCCATGACATCATGATGTTTTTGTGTCTACACGATGCAACTTCAAATCTTCAGAATCATAAATTTGTGCTTTATGTGTGTTACTTTGGGATAACTATATTAATGGGATACCGAACGAAATTTTGAAAAACTGAGGAGAGAGAGAAATAAACATTTATTTAGAAAACAGTGTTACGAGCAAGGCCCGGCGTCACCCCAAGGTGGGAGGGTTTCCTAGTCCAGGAACCCTCTGGCTTCGACTGCCCTCTTGGCCCTCGCGACAAGTTGTCGCTGGTCTTCCAGGTCCTCGAGGACGAGCTAAATTTTGAAATGCTACTTTGAAGACGCCACTGTTTTGATAAACAGTTTATTTCACGTATTCTTGAACAGTTGGCTGTATTTTTGGTGGATTGTCAGCACTCAGTAGCCGCATGCGAGCCATGACATCGCATCCTCCAAGGCGCATGCAGGGTACATGTGTTCTTGTCTTCCTATTCTCCACTTCTCCTTTCATCTTACCTTCCACAAAAGCGTTGGTGCTTTACCTCATCAGGGAGCATTGTTTGCTGTGGGTGCTCTTCGTAGTGGTTCTGGGAACTGTAGCGGGAGTCAAGTGGCTTGAAAGATGCTGGTGACAGCTAGCATTGTTGACATGCCTGTTTACGGTGCGTTGTAACTACACAGAACGCCACCTCTTGTGGCGCAGCCGCTAGACGTGACAGTTTGTGAAAGATGTATTAAATTTGTCATTTTTTTCTAGTTTCTGCCTAAATTAAAGGTTGTATGCATCGATTACAGCATCCGGTCTTTCAATTTGGCTGAAATTCTTGGCCCAAAAATTTTGTTCAGTATCCCTTTAAGTGAAAAGGAATGTCAGCAGGAGTTAGTGAGTTCAGTTCTTTCTCCCAGTAGATTCTCTTTTCCTCAAAGTTGTCCTCTGTTGAAATATAACCAAACCCATGGAAGTTTCAGAAACTAAGCCGCAGCAAAACTATTTTTTTTTCTCCTTTGTCATAATGCAGTTATAAACATCAAAACTCTGCTGTGCATGCTGGTGCTCATATACAAGCTGCAGGATGTCCTTTGCAGCGTTTGGTTGCTTGCCGGCGTTTCAAAGAAATAGGCTTTTTCAATGCTGTTAAATTTTATTAACATCATTTGCAAACTATTTGCTAATATTTAGACCATAGTCTAAACATTAGCAAGTGTAAATCTCCCTTGTTCTAAAAGTTTGTCGGACCCGGTGCGGTGGTCTAGTGGCTAAGGCATGCTGCTACCGACCTGCAGATCGCGAGATCAAATCCCGGCTGCAGTGGTTGCATTTCCGATGGAAGCGAAAATGCGTGACGCCCGTGTGCTTAGATTTAAGTGCACATTAAAGAACCTCAGTTGGTCAAAATTTCAAGAGCCCTCCACTACAACATCTCTTATAATCATATGGTAGGTTTGGGACGTTAAACCCCAGATATTATTTATTAAATTAAAACTTGGTCGAGCCTTGTGTGTGTGTGTGTGTGTGTGTGTGCGCATGCCTACTCTCCCACTTGACATAACTGCCTAACTCCACTAATTGAAGCATTAATTAATCTAACTTTATCAATTACCGTTCTGTATATATATATATATATATATATATATATATATATATATATATATAAAAACAAAAAAAGTGTATACTTAAGGCCACGTTTTTCCTTGTTTGACACAATATTAATGAGATCTAACAGACAATAATACCAAGAAAAGTATAGGGGAAGTGATTAGACTGAATTGTAATGCAATTGTGAAGAAAGAGAAATGAAAAGGGGGTGAAAAGATAACCTACCAGGACAGGAAACAAACCTGCGACCTTCGAATAATGCATTCGATGCTCTACCTCTGAGCTACCACAGCGGCTATCCCCCCAACCACTTTATTGGGTATACCTGTGAATTAAACGTGGGAGTGTCAGTCAGCGCCACCAGTAGCCATGGCGGCGAGTGTGGCACACTCGTTTGAGCCTGTTTGGCGTCACGTAGCATGTGAACTTATTATGAGCTGGCAGCTGACCAATAGTCCTTCGTATACAACCTAAAGGCACCAAGTCTGCTGTACGGGACCCTAGTTAATGAATTAAGGAATGAATTTACACTTTAGGGCTCGTTTTCCATGTTAGACATAATATTAATGAGATATAACAGACAATAATGCCAAGGAAAGTGCAGGGAAACTTATTAGACTGAATTGTAATGTAACTGTGAAGGAAGAAAAGTGCGTGAAAAGATAACTTGCCATGCACTGGAACCAAACCTGCGACCTTTGATTAATGCGTTATTCAAAGGTATCAGGTTTGGTTCTTGCCCACGGCAACTTCACTAACTAAAAAGTTGATTCATTTATTCTTTAATTGTTGTCCCGAATAATGTCTTCAGCCATCTTAAGATGCAAGCAGCTATGGAAAAAGCAATTGTGAAGACAGTGAGCAAATATTGCATTTTCCTGTTTTTTGAGGATGTGGGACACATTTCTTGAAACACCCTGTATATGTGTGTGCGTGTAAATAGGGGATAACAAGTAGAAGTACATTTATTTCTTCTTAACTATTTAGGATCTTGTAACGAAGGCTGGTCCACCAGCTGAAATGGTTAGAAAAAATGAATATTTTTTCTATCTTTCATAACGCAACTTTTGAAGATTTTACTATAGTCGGTTACACCCTAATAATAAATGCAAACTCTATCCACAGTGAGCACTGTCCCACCCAGGGAGAATTTTGATAATTGTCCCACCAAATTGCAATCATTTATTCACGTGACATAAGGGGATCCTTCACGTATTTTAGGCATATATACTTGGCCGTACAGGTACGTGTTCATTTTGATAGTTTTTGGTCGAAAAATTTTGCTGCTTGCAAATTTTATCGAAAATTCCAACTTCACTGCTCAGCCGAATGTAACATTTCAACAAGAAACGTCCATCTTTGAATTCATAATATGTGCACTATTTGCATTATCAGTCAGAAGTGCTTATGGTTAGAACGGAAAGTGTGTCACTGCGCTGTTGCACAGGTGAATGACAGGTGCGCTACAGTACTGGGGTTGAAGCATCTATGTATACCTAGGTTGTAACAGACTATAGTGTGTATGTGTAATAAACACACAATTACAATAGAGTTGTTTTGAGGACGATATGATCAGAAACGATAGTTTTGTTATTTCACGGTAATCACTGATTGAGCCCCACTGCGGTGGTTTAGTGGCTAAGGTACTCGGCTGCTGACCCGCAGGTAGCGGGATTGAATCCCGGCTGCGGCGGCTGTATTTCCGATGGAGGCGGAAATATCGTAGGCCTGTGTGCTCAGATTTGGGTGCACGTTAAAGAACCCCAGGTGGTGAAAATTTCCGGAGCCCTTCACTACGGCGTCTCTCATAATCATATGGTGGTTTTGGGACGTTAAACCCCACAAATCAATCAATTAATCACTGATTGAAACAGTAGGCAGTTTCGATCAGTTGACTGATTTTCACTACAAGGAGTTACAAAAAAATGAAGACATCTGACCAATGTCAAAGCAACAGAGTGGAAAATGGTTTAGCTTTTTCCCTCCATAAAAACGACCAGCATAGATACAATTTGAGAAAGGTAAAAAAATAATTTGAGTACCACTGGTATTCTATTTTTTGGAATATATATTTACGTTATGCTTTTATTAACATGTCAAATGAAGAAACGAGCCCTCGAAA